ACTTTCTCAGACTCACTCATGTGCTCGTCAATCTGGCGGCATAGGGCGATGACGTCGTGAATGTACGCGACGTACGACTCCGTTGACGTCTGTGCAGGAGCCGCCAGTTGATTCCGCTCTGCTATCTGCCGCCCAACGGTGTCGCCAAAAAGGTCGTGGATCTTCTTTTTAAAGGAGTCCCAGCTCGTAATCTCCGCTTCGTGCGTCTAGAACCACACTCGCGGTTGGCCATCGAGGTAAAAAAGCACATTGGCAAGCATAAGAGTCGTGTCCCACCTATAGCTTGCGCTGACCCGTTCGTACCGGTTGATCCATTTGTCGAAGTCAACGCTATCCTGACCAGAAAATACACCGGGATCATGAGCAGGAGGTAGAACGACGTATGTAGAAGTCACGGTCGGGGCAGGTGGCGAAGACGATGGTTGTTCAACCTGTGACATGGTTGGACCTATGATGATGCGGCCGTTGCGGAGCTTCGTGATGAAGACGGAGAAGTACCCAGCACGTCCACCACAAAAATGTTACGTAAAAATGACACGAAACGTGTCTATTTAAAATCTATATTCAAACTGATGCGTATGGCGTCGACTAAGATAGAAGACAGCACTCACAACCGACAGACCACTTCCTCGTTGTCGTCTTCTGACTGCTGATACGTCAGCTACGTAGCAATATTGTTAAACACAGTAAAGGTATTTCTGGTATGTTTTACTGAGACTTTAAATTAATTTAGACCTAGCTGGCATCATTATTATTTTCCAATAAAGGAGTTACTGGGAGAACGTATTGCATGATTGCGTTTTTTCTCACAAGTTTCCACTTTTTCGGTTTCTAAAAAAATGAAAACATATCCAAGGACTTAATGATGAACGGTGGAGGAAAGCTGGTTCCGCACGCCGCGCCGCGTCGCCCTCCTGTTCTTGTACGCCAGGATCTTGTACGCGCCGCCACGCAGCTTCACGGCACGCTTCTGCCTCACGCACTCACACATCGGGGTTCGTTTTCGAGTGCGAGCCACCGCCATCTTGCGCGCACACCGCTCTGCAGCCTTGTCTAGTCGCAAACCTTCTGAAGGCGCGTGGGCGCCAAAACAGCTTCATTTTCCTACACCGTGCCCCTTAATGACGCCGCCGATAAGCACGCGATTGCCAACGTCTTCGCGTGACATCAATGCTATTTTCTCGCGTGCTAGCACTTCACGGTTCCGTCTTCGAGTGCGAGCCACCTCTGCCTTGAGTGTATCACACTTTTTATTGGCAAACCATGAATCACCCGCTGGTTGCGTCAGTCTGACGTCTGTATGTTTTACGCAGGGACGGACGATGGACGGATGTGGGGACGAACGCAGGGATGAACGCCAGGACAGACGCATGGATGAACGCAGGGTCAGACGCACGGATAGACAGATGGACAGACGCATGGACAGATGCACGAATAAACAGGCGCACCGATGGATGGACCGACGCACGGATGAATGAATAGATGCACAGACGGACGGATAATTACACGCACGGACGCACGGATGGACAAACAAGAAGCCGGCAGACGGACGGACGCACAGACGGACAAACGGATGCATGGATTGATGCACGAGTAGATGGACGCACGAATAGACGCACGGACGGACGGATGGACGCCCAGATGGATGGAAGCAAGTACGAGCGGACGGACGGAAGCGCGGATGGGCTGACGGACGCTTCGTCCCACTCAACATTATTCCCTTCATGAATATGCTGTATAATTTAATATTTATGATACTACAAGTAACATCCTTCATATCGTACCCTTTGCAATTTTCAGCAAATATGCCTTTCGTTATATGTACAAGTACAGCCCTCTGCGGCAGGATTAAGAACTAAAGAGAAGTGGCTACACACAATTACGACTGGTCGCTCAGCCCACGCCTTAAGGAGCTTCACTTCTAAGAAATCATCTTTCAGAGGTGAAGCACCTTAGGTGGAGTTATGTCTGCCGTTCCGCGATGACGCTGACAAGGGCGCTGATGAAAATAATGAAAAAGCGCGTGGCAGACCTTACAATCTTTCTATCATCACGGCATAGCACATGCTAGTTATCCACCATGCATCATGACGATGTCGAAGATGACGAGCCGGCCGGTACGCCACTATGCCATTTATCATATATAAATAAATAAATATATATATATATATATATATATATATATATATATATATATATATGTATATTTATATATATTTATATATATATATATATATATATTAGATATAACAGACAGTAATGCCAAGGATGTACAGGGGAAGTTATTAGAACCAATGGAATGTAAATAAGAAGAAAGAAAAGTGGATGAAAAAATAACCAGCCATTCCTACTCGCGGCTGGTTTTTTTTTCATCCACTTTTCTTTCTTTTTATATTCATTTCATTGGTTCTAATAACTTCCCCTGTACTTCCTTGGCGTTACTGTCTGTTATATCTTATTATTATTGTGTTAGAAACACGGGAAAACGAGCCCTTAGGTATACACTTCTTTCTCTTATTTCATTGAACGAGGGTCTCGTACTGGCAGACTTGGTGTGTTTAGGTTGTATAAAGAGGGACAATTAATCAGGTGCCCGCTCATAATAAGTACACGTGCTACATGACGCCAAAATGCGCATAAGAGTGTTTTCACACTCGTTGTTTGGCTTATAGATGGTGCTGACTGTCACTCCTACTTCTAAATTCACATATAAACCCAAAAAAGTGGATGGAGGGAAGGCCGCTGTGGTAGCTCAGTGGTTAGAGCATCGAACGCGTAGTTCGAAGGTCGTAGGTTCGTTTCCTGCTCACGGCTGGTTATTTTTTCATCCACTTTTCTTTCTTTTTATTTACATTCCATTGGTTCTAATAACCTTCCCTGTACATTCCTTGGCGTTACTGTCTGTTATATCTTATTATTATTGTGTTAGAAACACGGGAAAACGAGCCCTTAGGTATACACTTCTTTCTCTTATTTCATTGAACGAGGGTCTCGTACTGGCAGACTTGGTGTGTTTAGGTTGTATAAAGAGGGACAATTAATCAGGTGCCCGCTCATAATACGTACACGTGTACATGACGCCAAAATGCGCATAAGAGTGTTTTCACACTCGTTGTTTGGCTTATAGATGGTGCTGACTGTCACTCCTACTTCTAAATTCACATATAAACCCAAAAAAGTGGATGGAGGGAAGGCCGCTGTGGTAGCTCAGTGGTTAGAGCATCGAACGCGTAGTTCGAAGGTCGTAGGTTCGTTTCCTGCTCACGGCTGGTTATTTTTTCATCCACTTTTCTTTCTTTTTATTTACATTCCATTGGTTCTAATAACTTTCCCTGTACATTCCTTGGCATTACTGTCTGTTATATCTCATTAATATTGTGTTAAAAACACGGAAAAACGAGCCCTTAGGTATACACTTCTTTACCTTATATATATATATATATATATATATATATATATATATATATATATATATATATATATATATATATATATATATATATATATCATTCGTTTTAGACCCGTCATTACCTCTGCCTCAAATCGCATCTGATAGCCTGCATCGATCCCTGCTCAGAGATACTCACTTTTCACTTTTTGTCTTTTCTTTTTATATAATTTCTTTCAGTCAAAAATTACTTGGTGTTTGAAAAACCATAAGCCTATTACTTAAGATCCTGCAGCCCAGTTCTTGGCCGATCCGCCTTTGTGGGTGTGTTCCAGAGTAACAATGATCATCATCATCATCATGAACGTCATCGTAATCATCATCATCATTCATCACTCTGCTGATAGCGATGTACCTCCTATGGCTGATAAAGACGAAGAATAAGGACGTCGAAAATAACACATATTTTTCTGCCATGATTGAAAACGAACGTGTAACCGCTGTCACACAGAAGCTGCAACGGCACAGAACTTAGGCAAGCCGATCCAGAGACGACGAGGGCTCACGAAGCTGCAGTCGGATGGCAAGATCGGAGAAGAGGTTCGAACGACGGCAAGAGCACGGGAAGCGGCTGCAAAACACCTAAGGTAATCGCTACATGACAATAGCGGGGCCGTTTCCTCGACCGAAAGTTTGGGCACATCTGCAAGGTTTGCAACCGCTTCTGATTCCACAATAATTTGACAAAGATTACAAGCATCAACACTGAACAGTCCCGCCAACGCCATCGCTGCGCTGCAGTGAAATTTTGCCGTCTATTATAACCATGTGTTCTTGATTTCCTCTATATCAAAGATTCATTGGTGCCAGGCATGGTATCTGCAGTGAGCGTTTCGTACTCCTATTGCTACCCACTCAAACCGAAGCAATTGTTCGCAGACCTACGCTCGCGATGAAGTCTCCAGGGGGACTAGAATACACCTCGTCTTCGCGAACATCCGAGTACATCCCATCCATGAAACATCGCCGTTGCTTTGCACTGATCACAAGATAGCCTAAAGAAGAGATAACGGAGTCCGCACCTCATTACCATATGCGACCAATAAAAGAACATTTTATATGTTGCCCACGTGTTTTCACAATTTTGTATGTTCGAGAGAGAAATGTACTGGGGATTAACGGTTCCCGCCATGATCCCCTGGAGCTTCGCCCATTTATCATCTCTCCATTTGTGAATATACTCTGATTTTTTTTACTACGATTTCAGTATTCGACGAACCTATCCTATTTTTATTGACCGTCTCTGAAGACAATCAAAAAAGAGCTATTTTACATCTTGGAGAGCGTATACGTTTAGAGCAGGAAAAACTTGGTTTCGAGCAGAAGTAACATAATATAGCAGTACCTACACAATGCAGCCAAAATTGGATTATAAAATTAGTCGCATTTTTAAGCTAGTCAACATAATGATATAATTTTTTCCGGTTGAAAACTTATCGCATGTTATGCGATAGGTGTTTCTATGGGGGGGCTTTTGTATAAGTTTTCATATCAAAAAGAAATATTTGAAAATAAATGTAATAGGAGTAAAGGACATCTGAAAAATGCTTACCGCTTGTTCCATGGTCCAAGCATTATATGTGGCTGCTTGAAAAGCAATAAAAAAGTTTTTTATATGTCATGGTTCTCAGTACTGTCACGTCAGTTGTAACGTACACCGACATTACAATGAAATAGTCTGCAGGAAAAACTAGCGAAACTTCATCGCACTTTGTAGCATCGAATGAAATTTCAGCTGACCGAAGTTGTCGGTGTTCATTATGTATTGTTGGTATTCGCGGACAGTTGAAGAAATTATGCATAATAGTTCGTCGTATAAAATTCTTCCCACGTCCTCTGTGGTGGTGGTGTAGTGAATATAGCGCTCCGGACCCGTAGTCATGGGTTCGATGCTAGCAGCGACGGTCCTATTTCTGTTGGTAACAAACGCTACAGCACCGTGAGTTGTGCGATACGAGTGCATATACAGGAACAGCAGAGGGTCGAAATTTCGTAGTAATAAAGGATGGGGTTTAACGTCTCAAAACCACCATATGATCAGGTCAAAATTTTATGGAAGTCTACCCCTAACAGGACAAAACAGCAATTGGTTAAGTAGGAGATGGTTACAATGGCGACAACGACAGCACTGGTTGCTCCGCTAGCCCACCCGATACCCACATACGCTGGTGTGGCATCAGAGAGAACATCGGTAGCAACGGTTCCTCAAACTGTGATGCTCACATATGCGGAAATTGTTGCGATTTCTTCTGCTTCCCCAACATCAGGGTACACTGATATTGCTTGTGGCCATTTGGCTGTAGAGCATGGAATGCTTGCTGCACCCTCGTATTTTCAGTAGCGTCCATCATGTCCCGTGTGTTTTCACTACGGTATACGAGGCCACATTTCTCGCTACTGCCGTCGCCGCTTGCAAGAGGAATGACGAGGCCATGCTGAGTTAGAGAGAGACCAGTTCTGAAGACCATATCTTTAAGGTCCAGACACCTACTCGTTCATGCAGTACCGGTCTCCATCTCCTCCAGTACTTCCTCGTCAACATCAGGACTACCGCTCCTCTAGACGACGCTCTCCGATGCCCTACCACTTCTCCGCATCGCCGCTTTGTTCCAACATCTCCCGACCTGTTTAACAGCATTAGAAAAACTAAGGATTGCAGTTTTTGGAGAGAGAACTGCATCCCATCCACCGTCACAACTACCTCCGGCTCGCTTAGCCATTGTTGTCAGTGACTCCTAACGGTATTTCTGTGCAAGCATTTGTGGACACCGGTGCAGCCACTTCTGTTCTGCGGACTGACCTGTGCTCGCGGTTCCGTAAGATCAGCACGCCTTATGTGGGACCTGCGTTGCGTGGCACGAATAACGTGCTGATTCAACCCGACGGGCAATGTACCCCTTGCGTTTCAACCTATGGCATACGTTACCACGTCGAGATGACTGTGTTTCCCACGTGCGTACGTGCAGTTATCCTTGGTTGGGACTTTCTACATTCGGTGGCCACTGCTATATTCTTTAAGAGAACGTCGTTCACATTAGGGATGCAATGAATGCGCCCATTCCAGTATTGTTACCATCGATCTCGAGCTTTGCCATTGTGGAAGACTGCGTCCTGCGCCCTGGTCACGAATACGTGATTGATGTCACATATATCTAAGTAGCCGATGATGATGCACTAGTTGCGCCTTCTTTTCGCTGCACCTCACCTAAATTTTTCATCGCCTCTTTCCTGCACCAGCTTTGCCGTGGCCGCGCTCTTCAACGCGTTTGCGACAGAACTGCATAATTGATGCTGCTGCCCAAGGGAATGATGGTGGCAGTGATCGACACCTATTCACTGACCTCTATCGCGGCCCTCTAACCGTCTTGGTCACCAGCACCAGCTTGAGGTTCAACTTCTTTCTCTTTTCGAGCTGTCATCAGTTCAGACCTCACAGTTGAAGAGTCTGAAGCGCTATTGGCCCTTAAGGTATAACACAAAGGCTGCTCCGAAAACGGTTCCACAACACTGAGTCAGGCTTCCGTGGCTGCTCATCACATTGAAAGTGACGGTTCTCGTGTGGTATGCCGTCGACCATATCGGGTATTGCAATCAGAGAGAAAAATAATTAAGCAAGAAGTGAACGAAAGGTTATCCCAAAATATAATACGGTCTTCTTCATGTTTCTGAACATCTCCGGCCATTTAGTTAAAATAAGGCTTCGTTCGTTTTTGCGTTGAATATCGAGCATCAAATTGAATCACACACAAGGACGTATATCCTACCGCCCTTATTATTAAGGCTTTAGACGCACTTAAAGGGGTGAAATATTTTTCGTGCCTTGACCTACGATTAGACTACTGGGTAATTCCCTTCACAGAAGCTGACAATCAAAAACCTACCTTTGCTAAGCCGGACGACAATTTTGAATTTCATGGTTCATGTAATGCCATTCAGTTCGTGCAACCCTCCAAGCACGTTTGAGCACATGAGTGATTGTGTTCTTCATGATCTAATATAGAAGACCTGCCTTTGCTACCTAGATGATATTGTTGTTTTTTCGTATACTTTTACCCAACATCTTGAAATAATAGACAAAGTACTTCAATGTATTTCTCAGGATGGCCCTCAGATCAATCCAAAAAGCTAACATTTGCCAGCTAATATATTAACGTCCTCGGTCATGTCGTTTCCTAAGAAAAAGGTGGGGTCTGTATTGAGTCTTGAGTGGCACCAGTTCTCAGCGACATCTTTCTTGGGAAAGTTTATTTCAGACTATCAAAGGAGTTAGAGCGGAAGGTTGTTCGTGTCACCCGTTATGTGGATGATTATCTAATAGCAGCGCCCAAAAACGAGGAGCTCATAGATGTTGAAAAGGTCCTGCAGATATTTCGAAAAACTGGGATAGGGCTAAATATTCACCAACCAAATGCCTTCGCAGCATGCCTTATAGTTCCTAGACATAATAATAACTTTTGCTAACCACCAACCTTGTTGGCAGTATAACCCAAAATTAGTAAAATTGTGGATTAATTACAATCAGGTCATTCAAAAAGAGTGAAGAAGGGCATCACTACGTCTAGCCGGGGGACTGCGATTCAGAAGTCGTGCAGGCACTAGGCGGAACAAAGCTTCTATGAACAGGTGTGTCACCTTCAGGGAGCCGGCATCCTGACGCCTCTTATCACTTCTGTTTGCGAAGGTCTAATACGTCAGATCAAGAAGGGAGAAAAAAAGTTGAAAAACAAGAGAGCACAAAAAATGTGCAATCATGCCCTACAAGCATTGAATATCTCATGGACTAAAAAAAACGTGGTATCACAATAAGATGTACAGGTAACACTTTCAGAAAAAGAACAAATTAGGAAAATTGTGCCCTATGGTGAACAAAATGCAGTATAGGGAGAGCTCAAGCCAAAATAAATGCGGAGTAAAACACAGGAACGCTTCACTACTCTGTGTATAAGGGGTAGTGTAGAAAATGTGAAAAGTGTATATTGAGTAAACAGAGCACTGTATCTATGTACGGCTAACAAACATTTGGGGACCTTCAATACCTGCACGCCCGCGAGTCATCCTTCGCACTGCCACACGCGTGGATGCACGCCTTGGTTCAATAAAACGACCGTGCTCTTGAAACATAGTGATCAGGGGAAAAGAGAACTTGTAAAAGCATTCTACACCCAAAAGGGGAGTACTGCGTTAGTCATATATTGATATCTTTACATGAAAAAGAAGAAATGCAAATCAGTAGCATGTTTGCTTGAATTAGTTTTTGTCGCACCTGTGCAGTAACCTGCAGCGTAAAATTTTTAATGACGTTGACATGGTCGCTCGCTGGCACCTCTGCGCATGTTCGATATGTTTACCGAATCTGTTCAGATAATTTGTATGTTTCAATGAATTTTCATTTGAGAGTCAGCACTTGTTTGTGTTCCTTCTCTTCGTTCCGTGAGTTTATGCGCTTTTACCGCCCATAATGTATCACCACTAGCCCAACTATCAGTCTAGCTGCATCTTGCTGGTACTTACCTACAGAACAGAATCGTGGAGGCTTACAAAGAGGGTTCAGCTTAAATTAAAGATGACGCAGCGGGCGATGAAAAGAAAATTACAGCTGTAAGCTTGAGAGAAAAGAATAGAGCTGTGTGGGTCAGAGAACAAACCGGGGTTAAGGATACTGTAGTTGAAACGAAGAAATGAACGTGGACCGAGCATGTAGCGCGTAGGCAGGATAACCGCGGGTCATTAAGGGTAACTGCCCGAATTTCCAGAGAAGACAAGCGAGTTAAGAGGATACAGATAGGTGGCCACATGAGATGAGGAAGTTTGCTGGCAAAAAGTGGCAGCAAAGCACAGGACCAAGTTGACTGGCGAAACATGGAACTGGCGGAAGAGTACGGGGTCAGATATATGTAGGTAGCGTGTTACCTTATTTCCTAAATGCATAGACACGCGATTATAAAAACGCAGTGCTGATTACGCGAAGCTGGAAATACGACACTATGACCGAAAATGCTGGTGTTTTCTAGGCTTCAATAACACTGCGCGGTGCTACCAGCTACCACTTGCTTTATGTTCTAGAAACACTTCCTTTCTTCAAGTTAGTGCTAGATGGCGTCCATATGTGCACGCAGCGCATACACGCCGAATCTCTCGCGTATAACGTCAAGTAATTGTGTTATTTATTCTGTGTACAGACAAAACATTCTCTTTTGATGACCTTTGCAGTGAAGCGCGCCGATTAAGCTTCAATACCTGTGAACATTGCACTAAGGTGACAAAAGAGACGCGCGTTAGAATTTCTCAAGATTTACGAATCGCCACGAGGAAGTGACGCAAATGCACACAAACAGTTATTTTTTGCTTTTTTCTACACGATGAACGCGCTACAACAGAAACGAACCACTGAATGTCTGTCAATCAGAGGTGACAAAATATACTCTCACTCGCAATCATTATGTTCAAGCGGACAATTTACAGCGACTCTTTTCTGATATATAAAAGACTTTAAAAGGAACAGCGTAGTTACGTTGAGACCGAAGTAAACCATGGCCCATTTAACAATATCTTGATGTCATAACTAAAAAAGCAAATACAGAATGCATGTATTAAGTAAGTTAGCTCAAGCGTCATCGCTTCTGCACTGCTAAACGACGAGACAGACACAAAGCGGACACTTGTTCCGCGGGCTGCAGGAAAGTTGACATAATCATTTTGTCAGCAAATACACACACAACACAAACACACACTCAAGTACACACGCGCGCACGCACACACACACACACACACCTTTATTGAACTACTTTTCACACTGTCTCGCAGAATCGAAGGCTGTCACAACCTTCGACCTTAATTTTGGCACCTCACGGCGTTTCACGATTCAGAAATGGGGAAAAAATGCTGCTGGGTAGGCCTCCTGAAGTGCATCGATGAGTTGCACTAGTTGCCGGCTTTGCGTTAACACAACGAGAGTTATTGATAAATTTATTGGCTGTGCCACCCAGAACAGGCGTCATCTGTAACGGCACCGCACAGATCGTTTCCCAGAGTCGTCGCCGGGGGGCTACGCATCTGCTGTGGAGCATGCAAAAGGCGGGTTGTAGTGGCTGCACATGTTCATTTTTGGCTTACCCTTTGTGTAATCATACGATGAGTCAAATTGTGGTGAAATCCGGGGTCTGATTTGTTAGGAAGAAACACTGTTTGTTCACAAGCTGGATGGTTCTGCGCTTCATAGGACCCTTTCATAACAACAATTGGAGTCTTGTTTTTTAGTATCTGTCCAAAGCAAAAAAGAAAACAATTTCATCTCTACGAAAGGGCCTATAAATTATAATATACAAAGTCAAGGATGAATGGTTCTACAACTGCGGGGCAACGTAAATGATATTTTATGGCCATGAGCATTGTGCCGCACGCGAATACACAGGTCTCACGAACTGAATTGCGTCATTTCTATCGTATGAAATTCCCACTACCTCAAATGCGTCATTTCTATCCTATGAATTTTACAATTTTTTTCCCGTTTTCTTCACGTCTCTTAGGTCAAGAAACTTTTCCCACAAACCTCAGTGGGGCCTACAGTAATTGTGCATATCCCTCGCTACACTGAAATATTCATGCCGCCTTTGAGAGCGTGGTCGCCATACGAGCTACGACATCAGGTTGTTTTTTGCATGAAATTATTTGCTTGAAGTAACACCATGCATAACTCAGACGAGTTCTACAATTTGAAGTCGAAGGCGAATATATGTTCATTGGAACTAAGCGGAGCCTTCCAATTTCAGGGATGTGCTAGAGTGAACCAACAATAATTGATATGATTGATATGTGGGGTTTAACGTCCCGAAACCACCATATGATTATGAGAGACGCCGTATTGGAAGGATCCGGAAATTTCGACCACCTGGGGTTGTTTAACGTGTACCCAAATCTGAGTACACGGGCCTGCAACATTTCCGCCTCCATCGAAATTGCAGCCACCGCAGCCGGGATTCAATCCCGTGGCCTGCGGGTCAGCAGCTGAGTACCTTAGCCACTAGACCACTGTGGTGGGGCCGTGAACAAACAAAGCGCTTTATTGTGCAAGCAGAACCTAAAAAGCCTTTTTCTGGACTTGGTATTGTGAAATATTTGAGAATTCGCTACTTGGCGATTCGCCAATTGCGATTTACCGCTTTTAACATAGGTGCCTTAGTAATTTATGTTTGTCGACACTAATCGCAAACCGAATTATTTGATCGTTTAGTTTGACGCCAGAAACAAAAAGTGACATTCATTCATGGGAGCACTGAACCTTCATTTTGAAATATAACACGTGATTTATAAAGCAAAACAGGGTCACTTTTATGGCAGACCTATGCACTGCAAATTAAAAATATGTCGTAAAATCTGTTTGCTTACGCGTTTATCGCGACTCCATGAACGCGGTTCGCAGCGTGTCCGAGAACTCCATCGCCATGTCCAAATTATTCCCCGTGGACAAATCCTCCTGTTTTGTATTTAATTATTATAGTGCTTTTGCTCAGTACGATGTCGCAACACTTCGTCATCACCTTGGACCGCCTTTTTCGGGTAGCGGTGAAAGCCATTAGCCATTGTTGACACTGCCGCATTCGAATCATCTGAAATTTGCTCACGCACAGTACACATAATTGGGCCTGGATCTAACAAAATTTGAATTTATTTATATATTTATTTATTTATTTATTTATTTATTTATTTATTTATTTATTTATTTATTTATTGTACCCTCAAGGCTCGAGGGCATTACAGAGGGGAGTGGTGAACGGAAAATTATACAAACTTGGGTAGTAAATACCAGAACAAGAACGTAATACAACAGTGCAATAAAACAAAAAACGACTAGAAATAGCAGTACATACAATGTAGCAAAGAAATGTTTTGCAATAATATTAAAAACAAAGAAAGTAACATGACAAGAATTCCTGTTTATACAACTTCACCACAATATTAAGGTGCCATGAATTTCTAGTTGAACAATGTTAGCTATAGCCTTTCAAAAAAGTTTATTATCAATGATGGTGATTATGTCATTGGGAATATGGTTCCATTGTCGAGATGTTCCAGGGTAAAATGAATGATTAAAGTTTTTTGGTGTTTCCCGCTTGAATTCCGACTTTGAAGCGTTGGTCTACACGGTGCGATATGTAATGTGGCTGTGAAATGAAGTTAATACGAAGGAATTGGTGATGGTAAATCTTATGAAACAGAGTTAAGCGAGCTATTTTTCTCCGTGATGCTAGAGATGGAAGACATAGGTTAGCTGTCTGTGAAGATATACTGGAAGTGCGGTTATAATTAGAAAAAGATGAAACGGACAGAATTGTTTTGAAAGAGTTCTAGAGAGAAGATGAGGTTTTCGTTGTGTGGGTCCCACATTGCTGCGGCGTATTCTAGTTTCGGGCGCACTAATGACTGATAGAGTTGTAATTTCAAAGATGACGGGGCGTTAGATAAATTGTGACGTAAGTAGCCAAGCGTGCTGTTAGTTCTACTGGTTATGTATTAAATATGAAGAGACCAGATTAGGTTTGAAGTTATATGAACGCCTAAGTATTTATATGAATTCACAGTATCTAAGGGAATATTATTCATATGGTAGAATGGAAGGGTGGTAGAATTTTATGAACACGTAAAGTTTCACATTTGTTCATATTTAGTTGCATTCCCCAGGTACTATTTCAATCACTTATAAGGTTTGCATCTCATTGAAGAACATTAGAATTGTCAGTACCGATTATTTTATGGTAAATTACGCAATCGTCCGCAAATAAGTGAACATGAGATGTCAATGTAGATGGCAAGTCGTTAATATAGATTAGAAAAAGAAGTGGTCCTAGCACTGTTCCTTGAGGCACGCCGAAACGAACTTTAGTTACAGGTGAGTCATTTATATTAGCAGCAAGCTTATTAGAATGATTATTAGCAAGCATGAAGTTGTTTACTATATTAGACATTACATTATTTTCGGCGCACTGTTTTGTAGGAACGCCCCGCCACGGTGGTCTAGTGGCTAAGGTACTCGGCTACTGACCCGCAGGTCGTGGGATCAAACCCCGGCTGTGGCGGCTGCCTTTCCGATGGAGGCGGAAATGTTGTAGGCCCGTGTGCTCAGATTTGGGTGCACGTTAAAGAACCCCGGGTGGTCGAAATTTCCGGAGCCCTCCACTACGGCGTCTCTCATAATCATGTAGTGGTTTTGGGACGATAAACCCCACAAACCAATCAATCAATTTTGTAGGAACATCAGGCTGCAGGCTACAGCAGTAGCGAATATCACTTGTATTGAGAGTCTTCTTGTCGCGTTTGACTGCATGAGCTTTCTATAGGCTAGTGTATTGGCTTGTGGTTGCATAACTTTATTTTCTTCAAGGGACCTCATACGTGATTTCGATGTTATTTTTTAATGACGACTATTGGGGAATACATTAGTAGCGGCATGCATTATCTTAAACACTGATAGTTTTTGTTGTTTTATGCAGAAGTACGCTTATATAAGCAATGCCCGATCAATTTGCCTTTTGGTCGTTATTGCAAAGTATCCGCCATAACTAGAACATCATTTTTTGTCACATCATTACGCCTTCTCTCCCTAATTGGATGTTTGTAGCTTTATAGGGTCTATTCTATAAAACTTGTAATAATAACTACGTGAAATACAAGTTACCTAAAAGGCCCTCATATAGATCAACTCGCATTGATCAACGCGATAAATTTAGGATTCCGTCATTTCAAACATGTCCTCATGACTCATTAATACCCAGAACTTGTCTCAGTGGGAATCGCCTTACCCAAAACATTGATGGCATACTTGATAATATTATGCTCCGTCAAACAATTGCTATTTTGTGAACGTATATGTTTGTTACTTCTTGTATATTTTTTTCTTATTATAAAATTGTTTACTTGAACTGCCACTGCTACTTGTCTTGATGTGAGTTTTCAAGAGAGATGTGGGGTTTAGCGTCGCAAAGCCATCATATAAATATGAGAGATGACGTAATGGAGGACACTTGAAGTTTTGACCACCCGAGGTTCTTTAACGAGCACCTAAATCTGAACACACGGGCCAACAGCACTTTTCGCTTTCACTATGGGAGTTTCTGCTATCTACTTTGTAGTTTTTAAATGCGAAGCATTTCTTAGCGAACTTCGGCGATCTTGAGCGTATCTATCTATCTATCTATCTATCTATCTATCTATCTATCTATCTATCTATCTATCTATCTATCTATCTATCTATCTATCTATCTATCTATCTATCTATCTATCTATCTATCTATCTATCTAGCCACCTATGACTTTTAGTTCTGCTGGCCGTTTCGATAACGGTATCGATACCAAACTTCGTATGGCATAACATGACTGTATGAAGAACATATTTGACTAGCCATAACATGAAAATCATAACACGTATGTTACGAATATTATGATATACATTTCATGATTCAGCAGCTCTTGCGTTGGTTTCTTTCACATCCCATGTTGCGAAACTCGTATGGTATGGCGTGATTGCATGGCGAACACAAATGACAGACTCTAACATGGATAGCATGACAAATATATTATATACCAACATGACTACATGCCACGCTCATGATACTATCGTGGCCGTTTCGCTAGCGTCACATTTAGAAAATTTGATATTGAAGTACGTTGATTTATGACGAAGGTATTTGACTGGTGCAAGCATGATGATCATGGGATGCGTGTCATGTGATAAGATGACTACATGCCACGGTCAAGGCAGTAATACATTTCGATGTGACGCGGCGCGCGTGCTCGCCGGCATTAATTTCGTCGCGTCACGCAGGCGTTGCCACGCCAGGCGCCGGTCCTGTCATATACTCGCAGGCGCGCGCCGCACTGGGTTGCTTTGACGCACGCACGTTTGAGCGCTTCCGACGTTTCACCTTCACAAAAAGAGGGAGACGTAATGTTGTCCGGGTAACGCATCGGCGAGAATTGCAGCTAGTCGCATTGCGTGCCGTTTGCCGTCTGGCCGCACCGACGGACGCTGGTTGCGCCTGGCGTCAGGCTATAGAGTGCTCGTGTTTCGCTAACAAAGCGTCGCTGTGCCCAGCGTGCGCGCGCGCCAACGCTACATTGGAGTATATTGGTTCCTTCATGACGCTCTCGCGGC